AGGTCCCAAAACCCCCCCAAACCCCCAACCCCAAAATTTGGGGCAAAATCCTGCGATTTCCATCGACTCGGAAACAATTATTTACATTTTTATTACAATCGCTCGTCGTCGAAACTGCCGGAAATTTGGGGGGGGGGGGGGGAGAAAGGCCCCAAAAAAAAAAAAACAAAACCCCCCAAAAACCTAAAATATCATCTATTGACAGTTTCGGCGTCGACAGCTGGTTTGGTTTTTTTTTTGGAAATTTTTAGAAAATAAATCATTTTACAAAAAATTCATTTTTTTTTTGTTTTTTTTTTACACCCCCCTTTCGACGCCGAGGGAGAAAGAATTTTGCGGGGCGACGGGTTTGAGGGAAAAAAAAAAAGAAATGGAAAAAAAATTCAAATTTGGAAAATTTGGGAAAATTTGGAAAAATTTGAAAAAATCTGAAAATTCAAAAAAATTCTGAAAATTTGAAAAAAAAGAGGAATTTAGAATGGAAAAAAAATAATTTTGGGTTTTTTTTCGGAGCCTGATGGGGTTTAACTCAAGGGTGGATGCTTGGAAATGTCTTTTTTTTCCCCAAAAAATGTGGTTTTGGGTTTTCCTCAAGGGTTTTTTTGGGGGAAAAGCCCTTTTGTGGCAAAAAAAATGCCTTTTTTTGAGGAAAAATTTTATTTTTTGAAGAAAAATTGTCTTTTTTGAAGAAAAATTGTCTTTTTTGAGGAAAAATTTGTCTTTTTTTGAGGAAAAAATCCAATTTTTTAGGAAAAAATCCAATGTTTTGTGGGAAAAATCACCTTTTCTGAGATGAAAACTGTCAGTTTTGAGGAAAAAATTGCTTTTTTTTGAGAAAAAAATCACCTTTTTTGAGGAAAAATCACCTTTTTTGGAGGAAAACCCCCATTTTTTGAGAAAAAACACTTTTTTTGAGGGAAAAATCACCTTTTTTGAGGAAAAAATGCCAAATTTGAGGAAAAACCTACCTTTTTGGAGAAAAAAAATCACCTTTCTTGAGGAAAAATCGCCAATTTTAAGGAAAAATTGCTTTTTTTGAGGAAAAAATCACCATTTTTGAGGAAAAATAATCTTTTTTTTTGAGGAATAAACAATTTTTTGAGGAAAAAAACCATTTTTTTGGGGGAAAATCACCTTTTTTTTGAGGAAAAGTTGCCAACGTTGAGGAAAAAAACCTGCCTTTTTGGAGAAAAAAAATCACCTTTTTTGAGGAAAAATCTCCAATTTTAAGGAAAAATTGCTTTTTTTTACAAAAATCACCTTTTTTGAGGAAAAAAAATCACCTTTTTGGAGGAAAAAACCCAATTTTTTGAGGAAAAAAACCCAATTTTTTGAGGGAAAATCACATTTTTTTTGAGGAAAAGTTGCCAATTTTAAGGAAAAATTGCTTTTTTTGAGAAAAAAAATCACCTTGTTTGAGGAAAAATCGCCAATTTTGAGGAAAAAAATTGTCTTTTTTGAGGAAAAATTGCTTTTTTTAAGGAAAAAAATACAATGTTTTGAGTGAAAATCACCTTTTTTGAGGAGAAAATTTGCAATTTTGAGGAAAAAAATGCTTTTTTTTGAGGAAAAATCTCCATTTTTGAGTAAAAACCCCGATTTTTTGAGGAAAAAACATGATTTTTTTGAGGGAAAATCACCTTTTTTGAGGGAAATTTGCCATTTTTGAGGAAAAAAATTCACCTTTTTTGAGGAAAAACCCACCACTTGGAGGACAACCCCATCATTTTTTGAGGAAACAAAATAATTTTTGAGGAAAAAATAATTTTTGAGGAAAAAATCCTTTTTTTTGAGGAAAACAAACCCTTTTGCGAAGAAAAAAGTCCATTTTGAAAAAAAAAAAATCCCCTTTTTTGAGGAAAAATTGCCTTTTTAAGGAAAAAAAATCCTTTTTTTGAGGAAAATTTGCCTTTTTAAGGAAAAAAAATCCTTTTTTTGAGGAAAATTTGCCTTTTTAAGGAAAAAAAATCCTTTTTTTGAGGAAAATTTGCCTTTTTAAGGAAAAAAAATCCTTTTTTTTGAGGAAAAATTGCCTTTTTTGAAGAAAAAATCCTTTTTTTGAGGAAAAATTGCCTTTTTTTGAGGAAAAAAGTCCTTTTTGAGGAACAAAATCCCCTTTTGCAGACACAAAATAGATACGAGCGAACGCATTTGACGTCAATAATTTAATTTCAATAATACAAACCTGTTTTCTTCTTTTTTTTGGTAAACTGCAGATTTTTTGCGGGGGGGGCTGGAAAGATTTCGTGGCTTTTCTTGGGGATCCCCAACCCCCGTTTGTTTCGAAAAATCTCCAAGAAACGGCGTAAAAAAGCTTGAATTCCAAAAAAATGGAAAGAAAGCAGAAATCCCCCCTTTTGAAATTACAAAATCGATTTCACATGGTTTTTTTTTCAGGGGGGGTTTTGTGGGTTTTTTTTTGTTTTGTTTTGTTTTTCATGGTTATTCCCGTTCGTCGCAGCAGAAATCGTAGAAAAAAGATTTTATAATACAAAGATTTTGGGAAAAATGAACCCGACGCGGTTTTTTTTTCGGAAAGCGACCAAAAAAAAAAAGAAGAATTTTTCCCTCCCCGAGCGGAAGCGGAAAATTCGGGATGGAAACGCGGAAATTTACGGATTTTCCCCCCCCGCCGGATGATATTTGAAGATTTCTTTTTCCCCCCCGAATCAGTTTTTTTTTTGGGGGGAAAAAGCGTTAAAATAATGAAAACAATGATTTTTTTTGGGGGGGGGAAGTCTTGAAAAAGCGGAAATTTGGGATTTATATACACGTCATATGGCTAAAGTGGAGCGCTAATGGAATTAAACCCAAAAAAAACCCCCAAAAAAACCCCGAAAATAAATCAAATTACCCAACGCTGCGCCGCTCATTCGATGCACGGAGTCTTTTTTTGGGTGGTTTTGTTTTTCCCGTTTTTTAATACTATTGACAAAACGGAGAAGCCGTAGGATCGAAACCCTTAAAAACATCTTTTAGGGACGCGGCGTCTTGTTGGTCGCCATCTTGTGCCGGACTATTCCCTGCGAACGGGCTTCCGGTACCGGATTTTCCTCCTCCCGGTTTAACCATTCCGTAAACGGAAGGAACGGGAAGATTGTGGACGGCGGGTTGGGGATTTATTTCTTGGGATGAAACGGTTGGTTTTGGACGAGGTCGGTTATAACTATTATATCTGTCCGTAGCGGATTCGACGCTCGTTTTTTCCGATTCGGGTTGATCTAACGCCGATCGGCGAACGAAAAGGGGTTCCTTGGTTTTACCGGTGGTTTTGGTGGATTCGGAAGATTTGTTAGAGGATGAAGATCCATCGGGAGGAGATTCCGAGGATTTTCCACTCGAATTCGGAGTCCTGGGATCGTACAAACTGATGGCGCTGAGCACGCTGCTCTGCCCGCTGCCTTTATTTAACAACCGAGGATCGTACGGTGCGATCGCCGGGCCGGCGTCGCCGACGGATGGCGTCTCGGTTGTTTTAGGAATTCGAGAAATTCCCGTTTCGGTGGATTTTTGTAAGCGGGGATCGGCGGGAGGTTTGCGCATCCGGGGATCGCTGGGGTTGTCGCTTTGGTTGGGAGACGACGGACTGCTTTTTTTTACAGTTTTTAAAATTCTCGATAAAAGCTCAAAATCGGGGAGACCGGCACCCGAAGAAGAACCGGAGTCTCCCGCCGGCGTTCCTCCTCTTTGCCTGGGATCGGAAAGAGCCGTTTGGGATCTGTTAAGTCGCGGATCGAGGTTAGACATGGATTGAAGAGCAGCCGGAACGGGAATAAATTCTTGTTTTGGAATCGGGAGGGGAATTAAATCCTCCGGACTCCAAAGAATCATCCGAGCGAAATTGGGTTTGTGGAGGACGACGTCTTTTTTGATGTGACTGAATTGCTGGAGTTGAGAGCGAGGATCCCGCAGGGAATGACCCGGGAGAGAATCCAACGGGATGTTGATGGCTTTATCCCGTAAAATTCTTTCTCCTTCCTCTTCGTCGGGAAGCAAGGGGGGTTTCTGCCCGCCGACGCCGCCGGAATGAGAAATTTCTGGTTTGGGAACGGAGGAGGGAATGTGTCGCACCAACCGGGGATCGGTAGGTCCCGAATCCCCGGGGAGAGCCGGGAGGGAAAGATCGGCGTTCCGGGAAAGGCGTGGATCCCGTAAACGCGGATCGGCGGGACGACCGCTCCCTCCCGTTGGGGGTTTTTGGAGACGGGGATCGCTGACGGCGGAAGGGGGACCGATTTCCCCGTGGGGTCTGCCGGAGCTTTGTTGGCGTAAAGTTTTCAAAATGGAGGTGACGCTGCTTCCGCCGTCGTCTTCGTCGCTGGAATACCAATTCCCGGTATCGCCTGGAGGAAAAATTTATTTATTTTTTTTTTAAATATTGCAAAATATTTAAAAAAAAAAGGTAATTAAATCCCGACGACGTCGTTCTACCGACAAAAAAGTCCCCAAAACGCGTCCCTTCTCCCCACGCAACTCAACGCCGCTCCGATTCCTAAATTTTGCCGAAAACGACGGGTCCCGTGCGACAGCCGCGGCCTCACCGCTCTGATTTCCCCCCCCCGAATTATCCGAGAGCCGTCAGCGTCTCTCTCTTCCTCTAATTTCACCACGATTTCAACCATCGACCCCGTTTCCTTCACCTCCTTCCCGTTTCTCACACCTCCTCCGCCGTTGACGTGACTTTTTCAACGCTCGGGGATTTTTTTTTTCACCCTTTTTTCCCTAAATAATTCCTCCCTGACACCCTCATTTCTCCGCCAACCTCCATTTTTTCCAAGATTTCACCTCCGCGAGGGTGAAATCTGAAAAAAAAAAAAAAAAAATCAATTTCTTTCCCCCCGCGCGCATGGATTTGAACGGAAAATGTGTTTTTTTTTTCTTTTTGCCACTCGCCTTCCTCATTCTCGCGGTCTTGCTTACTGCTCTCGGCGAGTCTCCGCGCTCTCTCCTCTTCCTCTTGTTGTTTTTGTTGGATTCGCAAATAAAGAGCTCGTTGCGCCGACGGCAGAAAATCGGGAATGTTGCCCGGAGGTTTGGGTAAACCGGGAGGAACTCCTTCGCATAAAGCGTCGTGATCCAAGGAGGGATCGGGATACATGTGCTCTCCCGGGGGTCCTTCCATATCCTCGTATCCGCCGTAGTCGTCTGTTGGGGAAAAAATTATTAAATATTAAAAGAAAATCTCAAAATTGTGGAAAATAATCCCATTTGGGGGGTTTTTTGGAGCTCGATGGGCTTTAACTCAACGGTGGATGCTTGGAAATGTCTTTTTTTCCCGCAAAAAATGTGTTTTTTGGGTTTTCCACAAGTGTTTTTTTGGGGGAAAAATCCGTTTTGTGGAGAAAATTTGGCTTTTTTTGAGGAAAAATCACCTTGTTTGAGGAAAAATCAACTTTTTTTGAGGAGAAAATTGCCAATTTTGAGGAAAAAAAATTGCCTTTTTAATGAAAAATCCCCCTTTTGAGGGAAAAAACGCGATTTTTTGAGGGAAAATCACCTTGAGGAAAAAATCAACTTTTTTTGAGGAGAAAATTGCCAATTTTGAGGAAAAAAAATTGCCTTTTTAATGAAAAATCCCCCTTTTGAGGGAAAAAACGCGATTTTTTGAGGGAAAATCACCTTGAGGAAAAAATCAACTTTTTTTGAGGAGAAAATTGCCAATTTTGAGGAAAAATGCCCTTTTTTGAGGAGAAAATTGCAAATTTTGAGGAAAAAATGGCCTTTTTTGAGGAAAAATTGTCCTTTTTGACGAGAAAATTGCCAATTTTGAGGAAAAATGCCCTTTTTTGAGGAGAAAATTGCAAATTTTGAGGAAAAAATGGCCTTTTTTGAGGAAAAATTGTCCTTTTTGAGGAGAAAATTGCCAATTTTGAGGAAAAAAATAGCCTTTTTTATTAAAAATCCCGTTTTTTGAGGAAAAAAACATGATTTTTTGAGAGAAAATCACCTTGTTTGAGGAAAAATCCCCTTTTTTTGAGGAAAAACCCCAATCTTTTGAGGGAAAATCACCTTTTCTGAGGAAAAATTTCCAATTTTGAGGAAAAAAAATCACTTTTTGAAGAACAGTCACCTTTTTTGAGGAGCAAATTGCCAATTCTGACAAAAAAATCATATTTTTGAGGAAAAAAATCACCTTTTTTGAGGAGAAAATTGCCAATTTTGAGGATAAATCCCCTTTTTTGAGGAAAAATCCCCTTTCTTGAGGGAAAATCACCTTTTCTGAAGGAAAATCACCTTTTTTGAGGGAAAAATTACCAATTTTGATGAAAAAAATCACTTTATGAGGAAAAACCGCTTTTTTGACGAAAAATCGCCTTTTCTGAGGAGAAAATTGCCAATTTTGAGGAAAAAAATAACCTTTTTTGAGAAAAAATCATCTTTTTGAGTAAAAATCGTCTTTTTTGAGGAAAAAACCCCTACTTGGAGAAAAAACCCATCATTTTTTGAGGAAAAAAAATATTTTTGAGGAAAAAGCATAATTTTTGAGGAAAAAAATCCCTTTTTTTTTTGAGGAAAACCAACCCTTTCGTGAAGAAAAAAGTCCCTTTTCAAAGAAAAAGATGATGAAATATTAGAAAATCTCAAAATTGCGAAAAATAATCCAATTTTTTCCCCCTCTCGACTTAAAAACCCACCCTGGCAAATCCTCAGGACGTACCTGGATCTCCCATCATTCCGTGATCCATTTCCAAACCTTCTTGTTGGTAAAAATTATCGTAAAATCCTTGCGGAGGTGGTCCAGGTGGCATCATTCCAGAATGCGGGGAATCATCGGGTCCGTAGGGCATCATGGGGGGACCGGGACCCATGGGGGGGCCGGGGTTCATTCCCGGACCCATCGGCATGTCCGGGTGCATGTCGGGGTGCATGTCAGGGTGCATATCGGGGTGCATGTCGGGGTGCATGTCAGGATGCATGTCCGGGTGCATATCGGGGTGCATATCGGGGTGCATGGGGCCCTGCATCGGTCCTGGGGGGCCTCCGGGGCCGGGGAACCTGGGGGGAGGCGGACCTGGGTGCCTAAAAGAGGAAAAAAAAAAAAAGAAGAAAATTCATTTTTTTCCACTTCTGGAGGGATGGATTCAGGGCATTCCGAGCAGCAGCACCCACACCGAACCCCAAAAATGGAGAGAAATCATTTTTTTCCGCGCTGGGGACAAAAAATCCGCCGTCCCCATCCCTCTCCTCACAATGTGAACCCCAAAAATGGAGAGAAATAATTTTTTTCTGTGTTGGGGACACAAATCCTCCATCCCCGTCCCTCTCCCTGCAATCCGAACCCCAAAAATGGAGAAAAATAATTTTTTTTCCGCGTTGGGGACAAAAAACTGCCATCCCTGTCCCTCTCCCTGCAATGTGAACCCCAAAAATTGAGAGATATAATTTTTTTCCACACTGGGGACAAAAATCTGCCGTCCCTGTCCCTCTCCCCACAATCCGAACCCCAAAAATGGAGAGAAATAGTTTTTTTCCACGTTGGGGACAAAAATCCACCGTCCCTGTCCCTCTCCCCCAAAAGTGAACCCCAAAAATGGAGAGAAATAGTTTTTTTCCACGTTGGGGACAAAAATCCACCGTCCCTGTCCCTCTCCCCCAAAAGTGAACTCCAAAAATGGAGAGAAATCTTTTTTTTCCACGCTGGGGACAAAAATCCACCGTCCCTGTCCCTCTCCCCAAAATCCAAACCCCAAAAATGGAGAGAAATAATTTTTTTCCGCATTGGGGACAAAAATCTGCCGTCCCCATCCTTCTCCCTGCAATCTGAACCTCAGAAATGGAGAGAAATAATTTTTTTATGCGTTGGGGACAAAAATCTGCCGTCCCTGTCCTTCTTCCCGCAACGTGAACCCCAAAAATGTCGATAAATAATTTTTTTTGCACTTTTCTGCTCGTCGCTAGCGGCAGAGCTCCTCGTTGGGGACAAAACGGCGGCACCCACCTGACGCCCAGTTTCTCCGCCAGCTGCCCAGTGGGTCGGACGACGATTTCGAATAACGAGGGAATTTTTTTGTACATGTCTTGTTGCTGTTGCAACTGCTGCGGCGAGAGAGGTTCGTGCATCGGCGGCGGCATCTGAGGACCCGGCGGCGGAAGCGGCGGCGGAGGAGGAGGACCGCCGGGCATCGGTCTCCCGTTCGGAGACGTCGGAGCGGGAGGTCCGGGAGGTCGAGGAGGCGTCGGAAGCAAACCGACGCCAGGGGGTGGTTTAGGGAGAGGATTAATTCCTTGTTTTTTCAGCTCTTCGACTTCTTTTTCATCCTCTGCGCCCGCTTCTGCGTCATCCGCCAACATCTGAGAAAAATCAAGGAGCGATTTTTGGTCATTTCTGAGCAAAAAAAAATCTCTCCCTTTCCTTTTTCCAACTGCAGGATTTTAATTCCACGGAAGAAAATCCGACGTGGAATCGGAGTTTTCGCTCTCCCCCATACCTTATCCAGCAGCTCCCGCGTCTCCTCCGTCAGCGGATCGTGGGAGAACATGCAGTCGTCCCCGTTGATGCAGTTGCCCGTGGTGTGGAAGAGCTTGCAAGGAAAATCCCGTGGGATTTATTAAGGAAAATAATTTTCCTACAACCAGAGAAGCTTTTTTTCCCCCCCCATATGCATCTGTGAGACTAAACAAGACCGATTTAAGGCTGGATTAATAAAAATCAAAAGGATATCGTGCATGTAAGGGCAGTTTTCAGCCCTGGCGCAGTAACCGGTGATGTAGAATTTGCAAAGTTCTCGTTTCTTTGGTAATTCGATATCGTGGCTGAAATTGCAGTGGTCGCCCTGTTCGGAAAATGACACGAAAGCGCGTTAGCAGGGGGAGCACGATGGATTTTATCACCTTAGGAGACACGTCTTCTTTCCAAAACCCAATTTCTAGGCATGAATCCCTCCTGAAAATCAATTAAAACCTCGATTTTGCACTTCAGCGACGGTTCCGCGGGCGTAAAATGAGATTTAGAGAAATATTCTGGATTTTTTTTTTTCCCCTTACCCAGGTACATCTGCCTTCCACAAAATATTTGCAGATGACTTTCCCTTTCTTATCCGATTGCTGGTGAAGTTTATCGTGGTCGTTCCGCCGGTAATTTCCACCACCTCCTCCGTCCTGTCGGAAGAACGTTGAGATTCGTTCAGAAAGAATTTGAAATAGAAAAATACAAAAAATTAAAACTTTTTACGCAGCCAGCTCTGAGAAGGAAAAATGTGGAGATGTGGGCTGAAAAAGGGACGGAAAGATGAGATGGGAAAACTTTTGGGGATCCTGGGGAAGACCTGTTTGGGTTTTTTTTGCTCCTGCAAAGGTTTTTTTTCCAAGTTTTACTGGATTTACTGGGGGAAAGGGGCGCATCCAGCACAGCAGATAAACCAAAGAGCCGCTTACTCCCATGTCGTCGTCGTAATAATCGTCGTCATCGTTCATTCCGCCACCTTTCCCCATCCCGCTTCTGTTTCCACCTCTTCCTCGTCCTCTGCCCATTCCTTTATTTCCTCTTCCTCTGGGACCGCGACCACGGCCTCGATTTAAACCTTAAATAGAAAAATAATTTTTTTTTTTCCAAAAAAATGCGTGAAAGAGCAGAAAACAAAGACCGTCCCGGCGCACTCACCCCTTCCGCGATTTTCCTTACTCCTGCGATACTGATTCAATTCTTTGGAATAATCGTCGTATTCATCGTCGCCGATGGGCTCCTCGTTATCACAATACTGCAAACGAGAATGATCGGGGATGAAGCTCAGCCCGTTCCCCTTCAACCCCCCGGAAAAAAGAATTTTTTCCTCTCGTTTCCGCGGTTCCCCGAGGGCAGAGAGAGTCGGCGCTTACTTCCATCTCTTCGTCGTACATCTCCTCCTCGTCCTCGGGGTGATCGCCTCTTCCTCGCCCGCGGTTTCCTCGACCCATGCCTCGGCCTCCTCGCATTCCTCCTCGTCCGCCTCGCCCTCGGTATCCTCTGCCTCGGCCGCGACCGCCTGGTGAAACAAAAGGGATTTTCATATTGAAAATATTCCAGAAAAAAAAAAGAAAAAATAAATAATTTTTCAGTACCAGCGTCTTAAAAACTTGTTTCTAAGTGAATCAGTTTTTAATGTGCTAAAAAAAGGGATTTTTAAGAAGCCAAATAACTTTTTTTTAAAAAAAAAAAAAACCCCTGTGACCACGTCAGCTGCACATCAGGCTGGGAACGTAAATCGGAGCGCTCCTGACGCGGTATCGGAGTTTTTATGTTATCAACCAGCTTCGTTTTTCTTTCAAATAAAGGTTTTGGTTGATTTTATCCATTTTTAACCACTTCGGTGCTTTTAAATGATCAGCTCCAGGAGCTGCAGGTTGGAGATATGGTGAAAAAAGGAATATTTTGATGTATTTGGGTGAAAAAAGGAAGGTTTGGACGTAGGTGGGTGAAAAAATAAATATTTAGCTGTAGCTGGGTAAAAAAAAAAAGGAAGGTTTGGACATGTCTGGGTGAAAAAAAAAAGAAGGTTTGGATGTTCTTAGGTGAAAAACAGAATATTTAGACGTAGCTGGGTGAAAAAAAAAGGAAGGTTTGGCCGTATCTTGGTGAAAAAAAGGGAAGGTTTGGACGTAGGTGGGTGAAAAAAGGAAGGTTTGGCCATATCTGGGTGAAAAAAGAAAGGTTTGGCCGTACCTCGGCCGCGGTGGGAGCCTTCTTTCGCTCGCCGGTATTGGTTCAACTCTTTTGCAAAGTCGTCATAATCTTCCTTGCCCATATCTTCATCCTCCTCGCCCTCGTACTGCCCGTACTCCTCGTTTTCGTAGTCCTCGTACATGCCGTAAGTTTTGCTCTCCATTTTCGAGTAGCTCTTCTTCGGCATGGGAGCGCCGTGAGAGGACGGGTACTGCTGGTGGGACTTTGGGAAAAAGCGAGAGGTTAGCGATTTTACGATGTTTTAAATTTAAAATTTTTAAAAAATAATTAAAAAAATGGTATTTACTCACGGAGGAGTAGGGGGGGCTGTACTCCCGGTATTTTCTGTGTCCCTTTTCGCTGGGACTGAAGTCCGAATCCTCGCTGTAATCGGAGAAATCATCGCTGGAAGAAGCGTGGCGCTGGAAGGAAAACACGCGGAGCAAATTTATTGCTGATACAAATCTTCCTTTGCCTGCTTTCTATTTTAGGGAACTCCAGTTTGGTTGAAGAAATTTCGAAAAGGAAGAAATATCGAAAATGAAGAAATTTCAAAAAAGCAGAAATTTCAAAAAGGAATAGATTGTGAAAAGGAAGAAATTTAGAAAATGTAAAGAAGAAATTCGGAAAAGGAAGAAATTTAGAAAAAGAAGAAATTTAGAAAAGGAAGAAATGAAGAAATTTAGAAAATTAAGAAACTTAGAAAATGAAGAGAAGAATTTGGAAAAGGAAGAAATTTGGAAAAGGAAGAAATTTAGAAAAGGAAGAAATTTTGGGAAGAAATTTTGAAAAGAAATTAAAAAATTTAAGAAATTTAGAAAATAAAATTCAGAAAATGAAAAAAATTTAGAAAAGACATTTCAAAAATGAAGAAATTTAGAAAATGAAATTTAGAAAATGAAGACATTTAAGGAAGAAATTTAGAAAATGAAAAAATTTAGAAAAGAAATTTAGAAAGGGAAGAAATTTCAAAAATTAAATTTAGAAAATTAATTTAGAAAATAAAGAAATTTAGAAAAGAAATTCCAAAAATGAAGAAATTTACAAAATGAAGAAACTTCAAACCCAAAAATTTGAAAATGACATTTCAAAAGGAAATTTAGAAAAGGAAGAAATTTACAAAATTAAAAAACTTACAAAATTACAAACTGGAAACCTGGCAGCAGGTTATTTCATCGATCTCTAACACAGACGCTTTCTGCGCTCCAGAAATTTCTCAAGCTTCCGAACCTCTTTGATTTTGTAAATCTGGCCGTTTGCGATCCCTAACAACGCTCCCGAAGGAATTCCCAAAATAAAATCCTCATTTTTTTTCCCTGCTCTGCATCCTCAGAAAATATTTTTCCGGGATCCCAGCGCGTGCCTCACCTTGTGTTTGGATTTTCTTTTTTTCTTGGATCTCCTTTTCTCTTTCTCTCTTTCTTTCCGACGTTTGCGTTTCATCCGGCGATGGGCTTTCTCATCGTCGGAATCACTGTGATGTTTCTCTCCTTTTTCCTTCCGATTTCTTTCTTGAGATTCCGAGGGATCCTGCGCTTCCTCCCCTCCGTCATCCTCCAGCTCTCCTTCCTCCAGTTCTCCATCCTCCCTGCAGACAAGAAATGATTCATTCCCATTATTGAATAAAAAAATAAAATAAAACCCGCTTCCTCCGCTCACCAGCCAACTCAAGCTCCCGAAAATTCCTCATTTTAATTATTTCACCCCAAATCCCAATTCCTTGCATCTCCGCCACCAAAATTCGTTCAAACCCGGAGTGAAATGCGACGACGAAGAGTTTTCAAAAGAAAAAAACGCGGTCACGACTCCACGGCGCTCAATTTTTGTCGGAAATTAGTGCAAATAAACTCCCAAGAATGGAAATTAGTGTTTAAAAAACCCACTTGATCCACTCCGAGAACTGAAATTGGTGTTTTAATAAAACACTCGCTCCTCTCGAAGCCAAGAAAAAGGAAACATCGCGGCGGTTTGCAAATCCAGAGACGCCTACCCCGGGTCTTTCCGCTTTCTCACGCCGCCGTTCACCCAAAATTCTGCTTTGTGGAGGCGATTTATCAAACCTGGAACTTCCCCGAGAGGATTTCCCCGAGCCTCGCTCGATTAAATCAAATTAAAAATGAGTTGGAAACAGGTGACGAGAAATTTTTTACAACCTCAGAAGGGATTAAATGGGTAAGATGGTGTGATGGGGTTTTATGAAAAAAAAAAATATTTTTAAAAAATGAAAATAAAAATTTTCCTTTAAAAAGTTTTATGAAAAAAATTATGAAAGAATATGAAAAAAATTATTTTAAAAAGGATGAAAAATAGATTTTATGAAAAAAAATTATGAAAAGAATTTATTT